ATGTATGTCGCTGCTTCCTGTTTTCGCTCCTGTTCCCGTGCGCTGGGCTGTTTCTGCCCCTGCGCCCATCCCTCGGGTCACGGGCTGTTTGGGCTACTTTTGCAGTAGTCCTTTTGGGCGCCTTCCCGCCGAGCGGGTTGTGCGCGTGCGCCGTGGGAGTTTGTTTTGGTCTGGGCGGTGTGCAAGAGTGCTCGTGTTTTGCATCCTTTTCTCTCGGGTGCTTCGCCTCTCGTTCTTCTCGCTTCTCCAGTCCGTGCCCCGTAGCTACTGGGGTGTTCTGGGTTGCGGTTATGGGGCAGACGCCGGGGGTTTTCCCTGTGTTAGGGGTGCGGGGCGCCTCTTTCGCCTCTCCCCTCTCCTGTGGGTGCGGCTCGGGCCTTCTTCCCCTGGCGGTGCTCCCGGCATCTTCTTGGCTACGTTGTGTCGTGACATGTTTGTGCCTCCATTCTCCAGGCGAGTTTATGCAGTCTGACGTCTTTCAGCCAGGCATTGATTCTTGGTTTTCGGAGTGCGAATGTGGGAACGGCAGGACACAGGTGTCTGCAGGGGGGGGTCTCTTGGCTCATGTGGGACAGCTCCTCATTGTACCCATCCAGTCCCACTCGTGTGCATGTCCGACCCATGCTTGAGTTAGTCCCGAGACCTCACCTCGATGAGTTATGTGGTACAATGGTTGAGGGGACTGTTATGAGGTACGGTTTCCTGTGTCTGGATGTTATGAGGTGCCATTTTGATGCGGTTTTGTTACCGAGGGTGCGTGTTGGGGATGGGTTGTGGCATTTTGTTTGGCCCTTGCGTGTTTTTCTCCTGGGGCTTTCTTTGTGTCTGTGCTAATTATGTTTGTCTTCTCTGGGTCACTCATTCCTTGCCTGCCTTGCAGTACCTGGCTTAGCCCTTCCAGGTTCGTTGGCTTCTCTGTACTTCCCTGGTTGTCCTCACCTCGTTGTGCTTGAGGGGTTGAGCTTTTCGCTCTTTCGTCCTGCTCGTCTGTCGCTCACCTGCCATATGCGTGGCTTCTGTGCTTACCTTGTTGTGCTCGCCTCGTTGTGTTTACGGGAGTTGAGCTCGGGGTTTTTGGTCTCTCCTCTCGCCTGTCGTTCGACTTCTGTGCGGCTTCCTGAGCCTGCTGGGCTCTGTCGTCTCTCCACTTGACGCTGTGTGGGGGGTTGGCCTCCAGCTCATCCCTTCCTCCTGCTTTCCATTTGTCTCCTCCTCCTGACACTAGTCCTTTGTGGTCTCTCCTGCTCCTTGGGCATCCGTTCCTCCTGTGTCCCCTGGGACATCTTTATCTACCCTCTCCTTCCTCTGAGGGGTCTTGCTTGTGGTGGTGTTGTCCCCTCTGGTTCTTCTGTCTCCCAGTGTCGTGCAGCTTCCTTCCCATCGTCTGCTTGATGCCTGCTTGATGGGGTTTTGGGAGTTCTTCTCCCCAAGCCTGGCTCGTGGTCGGGCTTGGCTTGTGGGAGTTGGTCCACCAGGCTGTTGCTTGGAGCAGCCCGTGGGCCCGCGTACCCACCACAGCCCGGTTGGTACGGCACTCCTTGGAAACAACTTTCTAGCTTTCTCTTGAGGATGTCCATGGTTGCATCGGCAGTTGTTGCTGCTGTGCCTTTTGGCTCTAATTGCCAGGTTTGGTTTTCTGGTTCCTGGCTTTCCCTGCCTGTTGGCTTTTCTGCGTCTCGCGGGTTCCCTTTCCTAGAGACTCAGTCGGGGCCGTGGTCTCAGACCTCCTGGTGAGCTCGCTGGTGTTGGGACGTTTTTGTCCGGCAGACGTTCCACCTCCTTCTTTGCCGGCTCGGTTTTCCGGCTCGGTGGTCGCACCCGAGATCTTCCCACGGCTCCGCCTCTTCTCGGCTCGTTTGGTCCATGGTGGGGCTGGTTCGGCTCTGCCTCAGGTCTCTCACTTTCTGTTGGTCAGGTGGCTTCGTTGATGGTGTCCCACCTGCGTTCTTCTTCTTGGCGGCAGTGTGGGGTTTTTTGGCGGTCCTTCCTTTTTCCTTCTGTCCCTTCTTCAGTTCTGTGTTTTGTTGGCGTGGTCTTGTCCTTCTCTTTTTGGGGGTTCGGGGCCGTCATTTTGCCACATACTGTCGCCTCGTATCGTGTGGTGCTGGCGGAGCCGCTTCAGCTTGCTTTCGATATTCAGGTTACTTCTGCTCTGTTAAAATGCTTCCTCGGGCGTTGTTTCACCTCCGGCCTGCTCATGCGCCGCCTGAGCGGTCCTGGTCATTGGACAGAGTGCTCTTATCTTCTCCTCCTCAGTTTGTTGTGGCCCCTTCGGTTCTGGTTTGTTTCTCCTAGGCTCTTTTTCTGTTGGCCTTGGCCTCTGGAGGTTGGGTTGGTGAGCTTCTTGCTCTCCTTCAGCGCAGGAGTTTTCTGCTCCTTCGGTCATGGCGATGGGGTTGTTCGTTGCAGCAGTCTCCTTCTTTTTGGCGGGGAATGAGAAGGCTGCTTTCTGGAGGGGTCCTTGGGTAGTTGATGCTTGGTTGTTTTGGACGGGGGTGCATCATGGCTGGTGTCCGGTGGTGGCCCTCCACCGTATATTGCGCCCCCGGCTTCTGTGTCCTGGGTCACGCTTTGGGTTGATCCGGTTTCCCTCCTAACCTGTTTGCGGGTGCGGGTCTCCCGGGTCGTCCGCAGGATTATTACGGCTAGCCGGCCTGCGGTCTCTCCCCGTGTCCATGTTCGCAAGTTCGCGGCTCTTGCCGCTGTTTTTGGCAACATGTCCTGGGCTGTCATTCGGGCGCGGGGTTTTTGTCGGTCGAGCAGGGTCCTGGCTGCTCGTTATCTCGTGTGCGTTCCTGGGCCTAGTCGGGCCTGTGTCGCTTTGGATCGGCAGTTGCAGCCGTTTGTCTCGACTTAGAGTTGAGGAGTGAGCGGCGACCGCCTCCCGGGTAAGTCCCTCTACTTTCCTCTGTGGGGAGTTAGCTCCGGGGAGCCGAAGGGGCTCCCCCCAGAAAACCAGCATTGAATGTAATGAAACGCCATTTTCTGGGTGAGTCCCGGAGGCTCCCTGGCTTCCCTCCCTCCCTCCTGTCGGCAGTTTTTCACATTTTTTGACATTCAACCTCAGAACTGGGGATGAATAGCTGGCACGATGGGTCTGGGGCTCCCCCTTTCCCCTCCCAGGGAGAGGAGAGCTGCGCGGACAGCGGCGCGGTGACGTGTGACATCATGATTGTTTGCTCGTTTATTTTAGGGGAATTCTGTCCACTTCTTCAGCTTGTGGTAGCAGTTTTCACCAGAATAGGGGTTTGTTTTGGGACGCTTACCTTTCTGGGTGCCTGATCTGGTCGATGGCAGACATAGAATGCTTCCAACCACATGGGGGTTTCTACAGGCCATTGCTACCCTTACCTCTTCTGAGGGGGGGCCAGATTCTGGCTTGTGGTCCCCGATAGGCTCATAGAACTCCATACACATGACTGATGCCAAAGTCTGACATTAGCATATCAGCTTAGTAAGCTCCGGGGAGCCTCCAGGACTTGCCCAGAAAATGGCGTTTCATTACATTCAATGCTGGTTTTTTTCTTCTATATTTGATCATGTTGTCTTGTCTTTTCTTGACTTTTTCAGGACTGTCATTTGATGATGAATACTGTGGCCTCGTATCATGCGACGCTGGTGGAGCCGCATCGGGGTGGATATTACTTTCGCTTCGTTCCGTAAGCTTTTTTGTGCTTTATTTCACCTCTGGCCTGCCCAAGATTGGGCAGATTGTTTCTACCGGTTCAAGATTGTTTTTCAAAGCTCTTTTTCGGTTGGCATTGGATTCTGGGGGTCAGGTTGGTGAGCTTCATGCTCTCCTCCGGCATAAGGGTTTCTGCTCCTTTGGACTTGGTGGTTGGTTTGTTCGGTTGCAGCCATCTCCTTTTCTGGTGAAGGGCGAGATGGTGGCTTTCCAGAGGGGCTTTGAGTCATTGATGCTTGGTTAGTCAGGTTGGGGGTGGTAGACATCATGTGTTGTGTTTGGTTGCAGCGCTGCCGTTATTTGCGCACCTCGGCTTCTGTGGCCGGGGATGCACTTTGAGTTGATCCAATTTCCCTCATTTCCTGTTTCAGGGTTTGGGTCTCCCAAGTTGTTCGCAGGGTTATTAAGTCTAGCCAGCCTGTGGTTTATCCTTGTGCCCATGACGTTTGTAAGTTTACTGCTTTGGCTGCCATCTTCGGCAACATGTCTTGGGCTGACATTCGGCGCAGGAATTTTGGAGGTCGAACAGGGTCCTGGCTGCTCATTATTTGATGAACATTCCTATCCCTGGTCGTTTATGTGTGGTTTTGGGTTGCAGGTTGCAGCCAGTTGTCTCGACTTCAAGTTGAGGCGCAAGTGGCAGCCGCCTCTCGGGTAAGTCCCTCTTTTACTTATCTTTACTTAGGTAGCTTCAGGAAGCTGAAGGGGCTCCCCACAGAAAACCAGCATTGAATGTAATGAAACACCATTTTCTGGGTGAGCCCCGGATGCTCCCTTGACCCTCCCGCCCTCCCTCCGGTAGACGGTTTTCTCATTGTTTTGATGCTCAGTCTCCGAACTGGAGGTTTTGAGTAGCAATCATAAGGGGTCTGGGGCTCCTCCTCCCGGGGGTGGGAAAGGGTGTGCGGACAGGTGGCGCGGCGGCTGGGTGTGATGTTTGCTTGTTCTTTAGGTTGGGGGAGTTCTGCCTCTCTTTTCGGCCTTTGGATGCAATTCTCTTACCATGTGGGGTCTGTTTTGTTTTGCTTACCTTTCTGGGGTGCTAACCCTGGTCGATGGCAGACATGGAATGCTCCCAAGTACAAGGAGGTTTCCATAGGCCATTGCTTCCTTTGCCTCTTTGAGGAGACCAGGTTGCAGCTTGTGGTCCCCTGTAGGCTGAAATCCAATTGACTGATGCCCCGGAATAATATATCACATAGCAGTCCAATAGCTCCAGGGAACCTCTGGGGCTCACAGAGAAAATGGCATTTCATTACATTCAATGCTGGTCTTTTTCTACTCCCACCTACATCCACTTAACCTTCCTTTACAGATGGCAGTACAGTCTTCCTTTCAGTTGGTTCATACGTGTCACCCTTGAGCCAGATAGCAAATGGACCGGAGACCTTAGGTGCTGTCCAGAGTATCACAGCATATCTAAGTGACAATACGCAGCTGATTGCCAATCCGGGCTTGAGATTGGGTGTGCGCACTGATGCAACTGCTCTCTATCAGATAACTGAATTGTGGAAAAAACAGTTTCATAATAGTGAACTGAGTAAATATATTGTTAGAAGGTATGTTGCTAGATGATATGTTGCTATATTTGCTTGAGTTGGCAATTGTTTATTTCATTACACTTAAACCCACATAAAATAAAACCGACAGAGCATTTAGACCTCTCACGCAAGTTAAAAATGCTTCACATTCCTTCAGTTTACGCACTGAATTTAATCAGTGTATAAAAGATAAATCATCAGGTACTGCTTTGCCTCTTATACATTAGATGGAGAAGACTTGGAAAGAATATGATATGCATGTGTATGGGTGAATGAGATATTATTTGCAGGAGTGTGAAGAATTAGATAAGCATAGTAAAAACTTTGAGTAGCGGACAGAACACTGGACACGTGATCCTGTGATCCCGGGTTCGATCCTGGGCGCTGGCGAGAAACAATGGGCAGAGTTTCTTTCACCCAGATGCTCCTGTTACCTAGCAGTAAATAGGTACTGGGAGTTAGTCAGCTGTCACGAGCTGCTTCCTGGGGGTGGAGGCCTGGTCGAGGACCGGGCCGCGGGGACTCTACAGCCTCGAAATCATCTCAAGATAAGATACTGTACTTGGAAATATGTGAGTGTGTATATATATATATATATATATATATATATATATATATATATATATATATATATATATATATATATATATATATATATATATATATATATATATATATATATATATATATATATATAATATATATATATATATATATATATATATATATATATATATATATATATATATATATATATATATATATATATATATATATATATATATATTTATTTATTTTATTAAATATGACCGAAAAAGTAAGATTAATAATTCTAACACGAATTTTCTCAATCTTTCGTACATTATGCTTCACTGTTGGAGGTAAATCAAAAATCACTTCTCCAAAATTCATTTTTATTTCTAGTCTGACGCGACACGGGCGCGTTTCGTAAAACTTATTACATTTTCAAAGACTTCACAAATACACAACTGATTAGAACTTACGTTTCCCTGATTTTATATCTACATTTGAGTGAGGTGGGAAGGGTGATGTGGCATTACATTTGAGTAAGGTGGGAAGGATGATGTGGCATTAGAGGATATTAATAGGGTATTAAAAGTATCAACACAAGACAGAACACGAAACAATGGATATTGAATAGAAGTGTTTGTAGAAAGCCATTTGAGCAGAGTTCCGTGCTGCGTTTCACTTACGAGACGGAAAAGGATGGGAAGCTGCCTTTTCTAGATGTAACAGTCATGGAAAAGGGCGGAGGTTTCCACACTGCAGTCTACACAAAGGAAACAAACATAGGAATGTGCCTAAATGCCAACAGCGACTGCCCTGACAGGTACAAGAGGAGTGTTGTTAACGCATACGTCGACCGTGCTCTCAGCCACAGCTCAGAATGGAAGCAAGTCGACGAAGAACTCTGTAGGGTAAGGCAGGTTCTAGTCAATAACGGCTTCTCCAATGGTTTCATCGAAGACATCATAAGAAGGAAAGTGAAAAGCCATGCAACCTCCGAAGAGACAACTAACACAACACCTATACCCCCTATTAGACTATTTTACAGGAACTTCTTTTCCACAGCTCATAAAACAGAGGAAAGGGTCCTGAAAGATATTGTTAATAGAAACGTTATCCCTACAGACAAAAATCAGAGGATACAACTGACGATTTACTATAAAACCAGAAAAACGGCCAGCCTACTCATGAGAAACTCTCCAGACACAAAACAGAACGCTTTAAAAGAGACTAACGTCGTCTATGCCTTCAAATGCCCACTTGGGGACTGTAAGCTCCAAAAAACCCAGTATATAGGCAAGACAACAACATCTCTTTCTAGGCGTTTAACGATGCATAAACAACAGGGCTCCATTAAGGAACATATAATCTCTTCCCATAACCAAACCATCGCCAGAGAAATCCTAGTAAACAACACAGAAATCATCGATAGATACAGCGATAGCAGGCGGCTCGACGTTTGCGAGGCACTACACATCAAGAAGTCAACACCAGCAATCAACAGCCAATTATTGCACAACTATATTCTACCCACCTCAAGACTCCGCTCCAATATAGAAGCATCAAGAAATATGGACCAATAGGCTTTCTACAAACACTTCTATTCAATATCCATTGTTTCGTGTTCTGTCTTGTGTTGATACTTTTAATACCCTATTAATATCCTCTAATGCCACATCATCCTTCCCACCTTACTCAAATGTAATGCCACATCACCCTTCCCACCTCACTCAAATGTAGATATAAAATCAGGGAAACGTAAGTTCTAATCAGTTGTGTATTTGTGAAGTCTTTGAAAATGTAATAAGTTTTACGAAACGCGCCCGTGTCGCGTCAGACTAGAAATAAAAATGAATTTTGGAGAAGTGATTTTTGATTTACCTCCAACAGTGAAGCGTATTGTACGAAAGATTGAGAAAATTCGTGTTAGAATTATTAATCTTACTTTTTCGGTCATATTTAATAATATATGTCTACAGGAAAGACTGCTACCAAAATATACTAATATATATATATATATATATATATATATATATATATATATATATATATATATATATATATATATATATATATATATATATATATATATATATATATATATATATATATATATATATTATATATATATATGCTAATCTAGGGCTTTCAACCTATTTCTTCTGTGCCCATGAGCTCTTGCAGTATTGGTTACATATCCACATAACCTTTGAGTTTCATTGACATCCCATTGAGAAAGATAAACAAGCTTGATTCATTCAACCAAAGGGTTTTATTGGATTAAATTTCCTTGTCACAAATTCATTCTTTGGCACAGTTGTTAATAGAGACATCTGTGTCCTCTTTGGCCGAGAGAGTTGTATGGTGTTTAAATATTGCATAGTGCAGAAAATCCCTAGTAGTCTGATATATTGATTGGAGAGACTGATTTTGATAGATTGTTTGCTAGGTGTCTCTACAACATGAATCTCTAATTGTGCCATTCCTTCACAGGAATGTTATTAAATGTTCATAAGATTATTCATTGTTGTTAATAGCATGGTTTAATGTCTTCCTATATCTTTAGTGAGTCTGTGCTATTATTAGTATTTTTTCTATACTGTATATATAATTCTCCCTATTTTGATTAGGTATTTTTAACTTAAATGTCATTTTACCATGGTGAGTCAGCAGTTGTATCTATATAAATAATATTTTATGTTAGGTAAAATTCTTTTTTAATATTACAGATATGCTGCTGCACCTTCGGGAGTCACACTAATGTATCCTGGAACTCTGCTGGACAGAACCTATGACCCACGCTCACAGGCTTGGTATCTTGGTGCTCTGTCTACGCCGGGGAAAGTGGTTGTTTCAGTACCGTATCTTGACCCCGGTGGGGCTGGCTACATAGTCACTGTCTCACACACAGTCTATCAGGTAGATATATATTGAAATTAGTATATAGTATGGCTCACTAACTGAAATTAGGAGTATCCAGGATGTAACTACCTAGAAATTACATGAAGGTAAGGTAATTGTCATGAGAGAGTACACGTATTAACCCATTTCGATTAAATAGATCTTGGAAAGGATACGCGGATAAGGATTTAGGATTAGATGGAGGTAAGGAATGGTACCCAACCCCCTTGTATGATCTGGGATTGAACGCCAACTTGCAAGAAGCGAGTCGGTCACTCTACCATTCAGTCCAAGTACAATAGTTGGGCAGAAAGTATATGAACTAATTAGTAAATTGCTTTCCAATTATAAATATTAATAGAAATAAGACTACCCTGTTTTTCTTATGCTCCTTGCCTATCATGAAGAAATGTTAGCTTCAATGCAGAAAAGTTGAGATAAGGTCATACGGGACGTTGCTCCATCATATACGTCAAAATATTTCTAATTTTGTTAGTGTGACAATATGTCACATTCTGGGGTGACAATATTCCCTTCTACCCTAATCTTTAGTGACAGTCATATGATGATGATGATGATTTGTTTATATGTTAAGCAGATGTTTGTTTTTCTGTGGGGGAGCCCCTACGGCTTCCTGGAGCTTATCGGGCTAATGTATGTTATATTAGACCAGGACAGGGGAGCCGGTCGGCCGAGCGGACAGCACGCGGGACTTGTGATCCTGTGGTCCCGGGTTCGATCCTAGGCGCCGGCGAGAAACAATGGGCAGAGTTTCTTTCACCCTATGCCCCTGTTACCTAGCAGTAAAATAGGTACCTGGTGTGTTAGTCAGCTGTCACGGGCTGCTTCCTGGGGGTGGAGGCCTGGTCGAGGACCGGGCCGCAAGGACACTAAAAAAGCCCCGAAATCATCTAAAGATATAACCTCAAGAAGACATTAGCTATTAGCTATGGAGTTAAGGCCCACCAGGGACCAGCGCCAGAACCTGGCCCCTTCAGAGAGGTTTCAGGGAGCAATGGCCCTGGAAAACCCCCTTGTGGTTGGGGTTTTTCCTTATCTGCCATTGACCGGGGTTAGGCACCCAGAAAGGTAAGCATGACAAAACAAACCCCACAGGGTTACAAACTAAAACAAAAAACTGAACAGAGAGGTAGAAACTCCCTACAAGTCCAAGGAAACAAGCAAACTAGCAAACATCACACTTTACTGCCACGCCGCTCATCCGCGCAAACCTCCCCCTCCCCAATAGGGGGAGGGGGAGGAGCCCCGGACCTCACTGCGCGGCTGCCTAGCATCAGTTCGTCAGCTAATGTCAACCGGGACAGACACTTCTCTGGCCTCGGTTTCCTAGGCAGTGTTTGCCTTCGTGGTGTTCACTGCTGTGTTTTTTGTGTTGACCGGTGGCCTGGTGTTCCTCATCAGTACCGGGGCTGCGTGCACTTAGGGGCTTCTTTCCCTAAGCGCCCTGTGAGTACTGCCCTTGCGTGACAGGGTTATCTTCCCTGGGGCGTTCGGGAACCATTCCCGTAGAGGCTCTTGCTGCTCGGCATTTGCCTCGCCCTTGGGGCCAGCTGGGGTTTGGGGGGCCCCCCTTGTTTGGCTTTGGATAGGGACTGGTATTGTACTGATTAAAGCATCAAGGTGTTGCGTGACCTGCTACCTATGCAGTGACCAGGTCCTGTTGCCTTTGGAAAGGTGTACTTCTGTGGGGTTTTCTTTTGTTTTTATTTTCATATGCTTGGTGAGGGTCTGCCTAGTGTGGCTATAGTTCCACTGGTAGTGTTTGGTGGGCCTCTGCTAGGCCTCCGTGATTGTACTGGTCGCAGAGGTTTTCAGTGTTGCATCTTCCCCTTGGTGGTAGCCTGGTTGTTAACCGGTTAGTAACATCTTGCCGAGCTTCCTGTAGCAGTCAGCCTACGGACCCTGGGAAAACCCTATCAGGCTCGGTGGACCATTTGACGTGTCTTCCAGGTTCCATTCCGTCTTGTGCGGGATCATTGGTTGCTGTGCCCTTGTCTCAGGGTGACAGTCGCCACTTTTATCTCCGTCACACTGCCTGTTGGGTGACTGACACCTTGACCCGGAGTCTTGCGAGTTGTGTTCTCTGCTTGTTCTCCAGTACTCTCATGATATCATTACTGTTCAGAGTACAGGCAGTATCCGTGTTGTAAGCTCGGTTTACGTTGCTGCAATGCGCTAGGTTCATTTCCCACTCAGATCCCCCGGGGCCACCCTGTTTTGGTTAGGTGCAGTTCACCCTTTTCCCCTCCCTGTTCCCGGCTCCTGACAGTCTGCGGGTTTTGGGGTCGAGGCGGGGCTTAGTTGGGGCCGAGATTCGGGCAGCTTCGGGAGCTGCCCCGTTTGGGTTGGGGACGGAGGTTTTCAAGCCTGTTCTTCCTGCCAAGGCTTCTGGGCAGCGGCCCTTTCTTTGCTGTCTTTCCCCTGGACTCTTGCATTTCTTTAAGGGCAGAGGGCGTGGAGGACGGCTCTGCCTTGGAGCCTCTGTTGCAGGTTTCCGGGGCTGTGGAGGATGCCTGCTAGCAGTTCTGGGGCTGTTTGCCCCTGCCTGGGGTCTTCTGCTTCTGGGCGGGGTCTTTTGTCCCACTAGTCTGCTTACTTCCCGCATTTGCTGGCTTGTTTTCAGATCTATTGCATCGATCACGGCTCCCTGTTTCTGGTGGCCATTTTCTTTCTGCAGGTTTCCCGCTTAGCCACCCGGGCGGCACTGCAGTTTGTTTACATGTGCCTGGGTGTGGGAGCTTGCATTTTGGGTGAGTTTTTCACCTCTTTTTAGGGGTTTTATCATCCTGTTGCCAATTCTTTGCTTTTTCTGGGGTGTTTTGCCCTTCTTCTGTTCCTCTGGGAACGCTTGGGTGTTGGTTTTTACACCAATTTTTGCGATTTCTGTGTTTGGGTCTGAGCCCAGGTGTTTGGGCTCAGTGTCCCTGTCAGTTTATGCTTGCTACCACACCTTGTCTCCTTGATTTTTGGTCCGTTTTGGCCGTTTTCCTGGGGGTTCTGTCTGAGTGCTGTGCTTTGCCCTTTCTGTGGTGTATGTCCACCAGCAAATGTGGTGGTTTTGGCTCCCCCAGGTTCGATTCCGGGTTCCTTTGGGGTTCTTTGGTTTCGTTCCAAAGGTTTCTTCCTCTTGGGACCCCCTTTGTTGGTTCTGGGGTCTTTATTACTTTGTGTGTGACCCAGTTCTGCCTTGTGGGGTTCCGGGTTCTTCCTGGCATGCAGGCTGATCGTTTGGGTCTTGGCACATGTTGGGGTCGTGCTGGGGCTTTGGGTTTTGTTGTCATGGTGGGCCTTTCGATGCTGTCTTTGTGCTCTCTTGGTGCCTTCTTTGTCTGGCCAGAGTGGTGCTCTCTGCCCACCGGTTGGCGCCTTGTCTTTTTCTTTTCTTTCCTTTATTTTTTTTATTTTTATGATGTGTATATATGTGTGTGTGTGTATGTGTGTAATTACCTAAGTGTAATTACCTAAGTGTAGTTACTGGATGAGAGCTACGCTCGTGGTGTCCCGTCTTCCCAGCACTCTTTGTCATATAACGCTTTGAAACTACTGACGGTCTTGGCCTCCACCACCTTCTCACCTAACTTGTTCCAACCGTCTACCACTCTGTTTGCGAAAGTGAATTTTCTTATATTTCTTCGGCATCTGTGTTTAGCTGGTTTAAATCTATGACCTCTTGTTCTTAAAGTTCCAGGTCTCAGGAAATCTTCCCTGTCGATTTTATCAATTCCTGTTACTATTTTGTATGTAGTGATCATATCACCTCTTTTTCTTCTGTCTTCTAGTTTTGGCATATTTAATGCCTCTAACCTCTCTTCGTAGCTCTTGCCCTTCAGTTCTGGGAGCCACTTAGTAGCATGTCTTTGCACCTTTTCCAGTTTGTTGATGTGCTTCTTAAAACACTTTAACGCAACCGCGCCGTAAATACACGACGGGCTTGGCTAACGGGTTCCGCCACCGCGTCGTAAATAGCCGGCCGATGTAAAAAAAAACATATAAAATCCAATTCTTATTCGATCAACTTGGGGTTAGTATGAAAATGTTTGCCATTAAATTTCTGTTTTCTCTAATAGGCACATGGCCTATTTGGGAAAACGGCATTGTATTGTAACTTAGTGGAGAGACTATTGAGTTGTTGACACAACGAGGGTGTGAGCCCACTTCATACACTCTTGGTGTGGGCCGCGATCATGATTCTACATTTATATGCATATGTCTGTGTAGGGAATTTTATTGTGAGTTCAGTGATATAAAGTATAACGCTGTAGGACTAATGTGGAGCTGACAACAAACAAAAGAGTATGAATATTTTGTTGCTGTTTGGGCGTCACGGCGAGTGATCTACGTTTTATTTATTTCGTGGTGGGATAGCTAATGCTTTGGTGACATGTTATACATATGATCTTGTAGAGAATCTTCTTGCCAACACATTGATACCAAAATGAAATATGTAGCTCGAGAATTGGTGTCAGGAGAGTGAAAAGACTACACACTTTTTGGTGTTTATGCTCAAGAGCCCAAAATGCAGTGCTCATGGGTCCCTGGGCGCATTAAAGTGTTAAGATATGGGCACCACACAACCGCTGCATATTCTAGCTTTGGCCTAACAAAAGTCGTGAACAATTTCTTTTGTATATCGCCATCCATGTATTTAAAAGCAATTCTGAAGTTAAGTGTGGCATAGGTTCCTCGCACAATATTCTTTATGTGGTCCTCAGGTGATAGTTTTCTATCTAGAACCACCCCTAGATCTCTTTCTTTATCAGAATTCTTTAAAGATTTCTTACATAATATATAGGTTGTGTGGGGTCTATGTTCTTCTATTCCACATTCCAAAACATGGCATTTATTAACATTAAATTCCATTTGCCAAGTGGTGCTCCATATACTTATTTTGTCCAGGTCATCTTGAAGGGCATGACAATCATCTAAGTTTCTTATCCTTCCCATTATCTTAGGATCATCAGCAAACATGTTCATATAATTCTGTATACCAACTGGTAGATCATTTATGTAGACAATAAACATCACTGGTGCAAGAACTGAACCCTGTGGTACTCCACTTGTGACATTTCTCCAGTCCGATACATTGCCTCTGATCACTGCCCTCATTTTTCTATCAGTCAGAAAATTTTTCATCCATGTTAGAAGCGTACCTGTCACCCCTCCAATATTTTCCAGTTTCCAGAACAACCTCTTATGTAGAACTCTGTCAAAAGCCTTTTTTAGGTCCAGATAGATGCAGTCAACCCAACCATTTCTTTCCTGTAATATGTGTGTTGTGTGTGTGTACTCACACACACACAACAACGCTTCCCTCCAGAAGCGTTGTTGCGGCTGTGGTCCCGCCTTCGGCTGTTTATGAGGGGGTCCAGGGTCACTCGAGGGTTACTCGAGCAGTTGTGCGGGAATCTGAACTTTGCTGTGCTGGTCTGCCTTCTGGGTCGGGTTTGGCTTCGGCGTCTTTTTGGTTCCTTCGAGGACTCTCTTTCCGCCTCTCTCGGGTTCGTTGGGTTCGTCGTCCGGGATCTTGTGTTGGTGCTGTATCACCTGCTTCCTCTTTGGGGTTTTCGGGATTCTGTGCCTTGGCGCCTTCGCGAGCCTTTGCTCGACGTGTTCACGGATGGGTCATCTCTCGGCTGGGGCTTTGTGAGCAGTGCTCACCAGGCCGGCCGGCTGGCCGGGAATGGTGGGGTCCGTTGGTCCGTCGGGCTCACAGCACGGTTCGGGAGTTCGTGGCTGTCTGGTTTGCGCTTCGGAGGGTTCGGGTCACTCGGGGCTGTACCATCCAGCTCCATCGGACTGTTCTCCAGTGGTTCATTGCCAGAACCACGGGGATTCTCTTAGATCCTTGACCTTTGGGGTTGGTCCCTTCGAGTGGCTCGTCTGTTGGATTCTCGGGGTTTGACTCTTGGTGCGTTTCATGTCTGGGGTGTGTCCTACGTCCTGGCGGATGGCCTGTCTCAGTTTATTCCTCTGTTCACGGATTGGCCGATCGTCGCCACCTTGCTTCGTTGGCTCTGCCGGACGTACAGACTCCTGGACATGGACATATTCGCATCGCCGTGATCTCGCCATATCCCATTCTATGTGGCGCCCTTACCCGCCTGCGAGGCATTCGCGGTGGATGCATTCCGGCAGGACTGATCGAGGTGGAGTTACCTGTTCCTCTTCTCCCGATCCAGCTGTTGCTTCAGGTTCTGGCTCGGTTGGAATCCTTCCCAAGGAGAGTAGTCCTCGTGGCCCCTTGGTGACCAGCCCACCTTTGTTTTCAGACGCTGCTTGATAGGCGTCCGAACCCGGGGCATTTCCCGTGGCTCCACCTCTTTCGGCAGGTTGGACTGGTCTGGTACGTGGCTGGTTCGACATTTTCCTCGGCTCTTCGCATCTGGTCTTTTGACGCGGGTGTATCACGATCTCTTTGGTCATCAGGTGGGTTCGTTGATGGTGTCCCACCTGCGAGCTTCATCTTGGCAACAGAATGACTTTTCCTGGCATTTCTATTCCCCATTTTTTTACTCTTGATAGGTTGTCTTCTCTTTTGCATCATGTTGTGTTGTCTTTTCTTGGTTTTTCACGACTGTTAATTGATGCTTCTAGCTGTCGCCTCGTATCGTGCGGCACTGGCAGAGCTGCTCCGGCTTGCGTTCAAGGTGGACGTCACATCCGCTGCAGTTCAAGATTGTTTTCAAAGGCCATATTTTGTTGGCATTGGCCTCTGCGGGTCGGGTTGGGGAGCTTCCGGCTCTCCTCCGGCACAAGGGTTTCTGCTCTTTTGGTTCTGGTGGTAGGTTTATACGTTTGCAGCCTTTCTCCGTCCTTCTGACGACGGCCGAGTTGGCTGCTTTCCGGAGGGGTCCTTGGGTTATTGATGCTTGGTTCGGCCGGGGGTGTGTCATGTGTTGTGTCCAGTTGCAGCTCTTCGCTGTTACCTGCGTGCCGTGGCTGGGGATGTGCTTTGGGTTGAACCGGTTCCCCCCTCATTTCCTGTTAAGGTGCTCAGGTCTCCCAGGTCGTCCGCAGGGTTCTTAAGTCTACCAGCCTGTGGTCTGTCCTTGCGCCTGTGCCGTTCGGACGTTTGCAGCTTTCACTGCTGTGTTTGGTGACGTCTTTGGCTCATTTCGGGCGTGGGGATTTTGGGGTCGCGCAGGTTCTTTGGCTGCCCGTTATTTTGTCAGTGTGTTTGCTCCTGTGTGTTCTTGTGTTGCTTTGGGTTGCAGGTTGCTGTCTATTGTCTTGACTTAGCATTGCGGAGTTTGTGGCAGCAGCCTCCCAGGTCAGCCCTTTCTTTTCCTTCTCTTTGGGCATGTAGCTCCAGGGAGCCATAGGGGCTCCCCACAGAAAACCAGCGTTGAATGTAATGAGACCCCATTTACTGGGTGAGTCCCGAAGATTCCCTGGCAACCCCTCCCTCCTACTGGTCGGCGGTTTTTCACATTGGTTGAAGTTTAGCTTCCGAACTGGTGCTAGGCAGCCAACGCGGTGAGGTCCAGGGGCCCCCCTCTCCCTCTTGGGAATGAGAAGGCTGTGTGGACGAGCGGCGAGGCATTAAAGTGTGATGTTTGCTTATTTCCTTGGGATTGTAGGGAGTATCTTGGGAGTATTTCTGTTTTTTTGTTTTAGTTTCTTACCATGTGAGGTTTGTTTTGTTATGCCTACCTTTCTGAGTGCCTAACCTCGGTCGATGGCAGATAAGGAAAACCCCCAACCACAAAGGGGTTTTCCAGGGTCATTTCTCCCTGAAACCTCTCTGAAAGGGCCAAGTTCTGGCGCTGGTCCCTGGTAGGTCTGAACTCCATAGCTAATGTCCTAGTCTAATATAACATACATTAGCCCGATAAGCTCCAGGAAGCCTCCGGGGCTCACTCAGAAAATGGCGCTTCATTACATTCAACATTGGTTTTTTAGGGGCGGTCAGCTGCTATGCACTCTCCTGCTGATCCAGTGGTGGCTGTGCTGGCAGCAGACTTTACTCTTGGCTATTGGTACAAGTTACTACTTGACCTTGACCCTTCTTGCTGCAATTATGGTGCTCCTGGTAAGTAATTATCATGCTTAATTGGGAAGTTTTTATTTTTTATTTAATTAAGTATTGATTAAGAAAAGTTATTGAACAAGTTATAATACATATAATTTGAGATACTGTATATGTACAGTTAAAAATGTGCATTTGCAGTAGCATGCAACAAACATATTTTAATTTTGCCTTGTATTAGCAGTATGTTCACACTGTTCCTCACTTTTTTTTTTTATGGACACTGTAATATAATTAATTGTAGAAAATACCTGAAAGTCTTGTGTTATTATAAATGCAGTTTTCTCTGCTTTAGAGGGTAAAACGAGTAACATGCGGTGTTTCCTGATGAACAATGAAGGCTACCTGGTGGCACATCCGTCCATGTTGGCACCTTCGGCGTCTTCTAACCTTGGCTCGGACATTCCACCACATATCACGCACCAGGTGGGATTACATAATAAAGAAACAACTCTTGGTCACTCAGTAGGCACTATTTATTTTGAATAAAAGAACCTGAACCTATCTGTATCTTTATCCTTAACCAAATGAACTGGAACAAGTGCATCACATCATACTGGCAGCCAAATTTAATTTATTCATCTTTGACTCACATTTAGTGAGAAATAGCAGATTATGAGGTGCATGGGATAAGAGTAAGCCCATCCTCCGGATATGGGGGAGGTAAATGTAACGGCACAAGTAAGTGTAATTATGTACTATTCCTAGCAGTTAGGAATTGTACTTATTACACTTAGTATTAAACCATACTGTCAAATAATCGCCAGAATCGCACCAAAATATTGTGAATATTTGAGTTTACCTGAAAAGCTGAATAGAAATCCATGACCTAACCTAACCTTTTTAGTGTATGAGGACAAACATTTTATTGCTTCTTAATTACAATTAGTACTTAACCTATAGCTATATTGATATTACAGTTTTATAAAACTAATAAAACAAAACTAAAATATTTCAATAAATTATAAAGTAGCTCAGGATATTTCCAAATTTTGTATAAAATCTCTATTGTTTAATAAAACTGAAAAATAAATTCTTTATATTTAAAACTTGTGTATATAGACTTGAACATGAAAACTTCATCCTTAAATTTTGAGTGTTTTAACAAAAAACGAGGAGAATATATGGGGAAAGTAAATTTAACGGTACAAGTAAGTGTAATTATGTATTATTCCTAGCAGTCAGGAATTGTATCTATTACACTTAGTATTAAACCGTACTGTCAATTCGGAGGATGCGTCGAGCTCATCATATCTGTTTGCAATGTTCACATGTCATTGAGAACTCTCCCTTCACTCGGTCTTAAATTTCCTCACAAGTTTGCCTCTCTTGCCAGCCCCATCTTCCAGTCATAATTTCATTCATGTGAATTTCAGCTTTCATCGTATCACGTATGTTTGGCAAATTATTAGGTAAGAACATAATTCTTCTTACTGTGCTTTCATCTTGGTTTATATAATAATAATAATTTATGATGTATTATAACATTGAGTTTTATAGTTATGGTATTGTAACATACTGCACTGCACTACCCCCTAAGTTGGATTAGAGGCATAGTAATATGAAGGGAAACAGGATTATCACAGATGACGTTTACCTTAAACTGTGCAAAACAGCATATGATGTGTGACATTGAAGGGGGTATAATTCGAAAAATATTCAAATTATGTAAAAATGACTTAAAAATGTTAAACAAATCTCCAACTTATTGACTTCAGCTTCGTGAAACTTTCATCAAAATATTTTCAGAAATTGATTTTAGACGAATATATATATAAAAAAAGAACGTTTTGTTGATAAAGAGAATAGCTATTAATTAACTGTAACTGATGGATAATGCAATAATAAAAAGAGATGCAAGCACCTGTCCGATGCACAAAGAAGAAGAACAATAGTAGTAAGAAGTGTCCACAAAGTGGATATACAGCTTGTGCCTTTATAGCATTGGTGAGTAATACATAATAACACAAATAATAATGAGTATGTATGTATGTTATTATGCTCTATTTTGTTATATGTCATATAAATACATTGCCCAATGTTATTATCAGTTTCAACAACTGTTATTATCAGTTTCAACAATGTCCAAAAAATATTTTTTCTGTGGGGAGCCCCTACGGCTCCCTGGAGCTTATCGGGCTAATGTATGTTATATTAGACCGCCACATTAGCTAAGGAGTTCAGACCTACCAGGGACCAGCGCCAGAACCTGGCCCCTTCAGAGAGGTTTCAGGGAGCAATGGCCCTGGAAAACCCCCTTGTGGTTGGGGTTTTCCTTATCTGCCATCGACCGGGGTTAGGCACCCAGAAAGGTAGGCATAACAAAACAAACACCACATGGTAAAAAATTAAAACAAAAAACCGAACAGAGAGGTAGAAACTCCCTACAATCCCAAGGAAACAAGCAAACATCACACTTTACTGGCGAGCCGATCGTCCGCACAGCCCTCCCCGCCCCGAGATGAAGAGGGGGGGAGCCCCAGAACTACCATGCCGGCTGCCTAGCATCAGTTCGTAAGCTAATGTCAACCGGGATAGACGCTTCTCTGGCCTCAGTTTCCTAGGCGGTGTTTGCCTTGTGTGGCGTTCACTGCCGTGTGTTGTGCGGTGGCCAGGAGTACCTCATCAGTGCCAGGGCTGCATGCGCTTAGTGGCTTACTTCCCTATGCGCCCTGTGAGTACTGCCCTTGCGTAACAGGGTTATCTTCCCTGGGGCGTTCGGGAACCATTCCCGTAGAGGTTCTTGCTGCTTGGCATTTGCCTCACCCTTGGGGCCAGCTGGGGCTTGGGGCAATTGTTTGGCCCTGGGAAGGGACTGGTATTGTGCTGGTTAGGGCGTCAAGGTGTTGCGCGACGTGCCACCTAAGCGGCGACCGGTTCCTGTTGCCTATGGTGACGGTGTACTTTTACAGGGTTTTTCTTTTGTTTTTGTTTTTTCATTTGCCTGGTGGGGGTCTGCCTAGTGTGGCTATAGTTCCACTGGTAGTGTTTGGTGGCCCTCTGCTAGGCCCCCGTGATTGTACACGTCGCAGGGGTTTTCAGTGTTGTCCTCTACCCTCTTGTTATTTTTGGGATTCTTAACCGGTAAGCAACACCTTGCCCGGGCTTCCCGTAGCAGTCAGCCTACGGGCCCTGGAAACCCCTGTCAGGGCTCAGTGGACCACTGAATGTGCCTTCTGGGTTCCAACCCGTCTTGTACGGGATCATTGGTTGCTGTGCCCTTGTCTCCGGGTGACAATTGCCCTTTTTACCTCTGTCATGTTGCCTGTTGGGTCACTGACACCTTGACCCGGAGTCTTGCGAGAGATATTCTCTGCTTGTTCTCCAGTACTCTCCTGATGTTAGTACTGTTCAGAGTACTGGCAGCATCCGTGTTGCAAGCTAGGTTAGGTTGCTGCAACACGCTAGGTTGGTTTCCCACTCAGATGCCCTGGGGCCGACCCGTTTTGGTTAGGTGCTGTTCACCCCTTTCCCTCCCTGTTTCCGGCTCCGGACCGTCTGCGGGCTTCGGGGGCGGGGCGGGGTTTAGTTGGGGCCGAGATTCGGGCAGTTTTTGGAGGCTGCCCCGTTCGGGTTGGGGACGGAGGTTTTCGAGCCTGTTCCTCCTGTTAAGGCTTCTGGGTCTTACCATCGGCCCTTTCTTGCTGCCTTTCCAATGGACTCTTCCTTTTCTTTAAGGATGGAGGGCTTGGAGGACGGCTCTGCCCTGGGGCCTCTGTTGCGGGTTCCCGGGGCTGTGGGGGATGACTGCAAGCAGTTCTGGGGCGCTTTGCCCCTGCCTGTGTTTTCTGCTGTTGGGCGGAGTTTTTCGCTCATCCAGTCTGCTTGCTTCTCACTTTCGCTTGCATGTTTTCGTGTCTTTTGCATCAAGCACAGCTCTCTGTTCTGGTGGCCATTTTCTTCTGCCGGTTTCCCAGCGTGGCCACCAGGGTGGTGTTTCGGTTAGTTTACATGCACCTGGGTGTGCGAGCGAGCGTCTTAGGTGAGTTTTTCACCTTTTTCAGGGGTTTAATTCTGCTGCTGTCATTTTTTTGCTTTTCTGGTGTTTTCTGCCCGTTTTCTGCTCCTCTGGGAACGTTTGAGTGTTGATTTTACACCGGGTTTTCCATTTTGTCTGTTTTAAGTCTGGGCCCCTAGGGCTTGGGCTCAGTGTCCCTGTCTGTTATGCTTGCTCCACACCTTGTCCCTTGGTTTTCGGTCTGTTTTTGACCGTTTCCCTGGGGGTTCTGTCTGGCGGCTGTGCTTTGCTTTTCTGTGGTGTCTCTACGCCGGCAAATGTGGTGGTTTGGGCTCCCCCTGGTTCGATACCGGGTTCCTTTGGGTTCTTTGGTTTTGTTCCGGAGGTTTCTTCCTCTTGGGCCCTCTTTGTGGGTTCTGGGGCTTTGTTTCCTCGTGTGTGACCCGGTTCTGCCTTCTGGGGATCCGGGGTCTTCCTGGCTTGCAAACTGATCTTTTTTTGTCTTGGCACGTGTTGTGGTTGTGCTGGGATCTTTGAGGTTTTGTCGAGGTGGGCCTTTTGATGCAATTTTGTGCCTTCTTCGCCTGGCCGGTGTGGTGCTCTCTGCCCACTGGTCGGCGGCTTGTAATTTTCTTTTCATGTGTATGTGTGTGTGTAATTACACAGTGGTAATTACACTGTGTAATTACCTAAGTGTAGTTACAGGATGAGAGCTACGCTCGTTGTGTCCCGTCTTCCAAGCACTCTTTTTCATATAACGCTTTGAAACTACTGACGGTCTTGGCCTCCACCACCTTCTCACTTCACTTGTTCCAATCGTCTACCACTCTGTTTGCGAAAGTGAATTTTCTTATATTTCTTCGGCATCTGTGTTTAGCTAGTTTAAATCTTTGACCTCTTGTTCTTAAAGTTCCAGGTCTCAGGAAATCTTCCCTATCGATTTTATCAATTCCTGTTACTATTTTGTATGTAGTGATCATATCACCTCTTTTTCTTCTGTCTTCTAATTCTGGCATATTTAATGCCTCTAACCTCTCCTCGTAGCTCTTGCCCTTCAGTTCTGGGAGCCACTTAGTAGCATGTCTTTGCACCTTTTCCAGTTTGTTGATGTGCTTCTTAAGATATGGGCACCACACAACCGCTGCATATTCTAGCTTTGGCCTAACAAAAGTTGTGAACAATTTCTTTAGTATATCGCCATCCATGTATTTAAAAGCAATTCTGAAGTTAGAGAGCATGGCATAGGCTCCTCTCACAATATTCTTTATGTGGTCCTCAGGTGATAGTTTTCTATCTAGAACCACCCCTAGATCTCTTTCTTTATCAGAATTCTTTAAAGATTTCTCATATAATATATAGGTTGTGTGAGGTCTATGTTCTCCCATTCCGCATTCCATAACAAAGCACACTTTTATTAACATTAAATAACAATCCATTTATCTTCAAGTGGTGCTCCATATACTTATTT